GCCTTGGAGGATGGGGTGGACTTCTTTTGCGAGTTCAAGTGTGGTTAAGAACTGTTGTGCTTGCTGCCAGTTATTATTTGTGGAGACAAAGCATACTTGGCCTGGAAAGCAGGTTCTCAAATACATACACATTGCAGGAAGCCTTTGCAAGAATGATCTGTTTTCAGCATAATTCTGGGTTATATTGCAATGTCTGTAATCCAGAATTTCTTGCAGTTTGCCCCTCCGTGCACTTGCTTTGTTTGAAATTGTCAAATAGTCTTATGGTTCACTCTCTGAACTTACTCTCATTTACATAGACAAAACCAAACGTGAGTTAGATATTTCATGGGATGTCAAACTGACACGGAAGCGCCTAAGGCTCATTGCTGAAAGTGAATTGATTTGTGCTTTTTGTGTTTGCTTCTCAGTCTTAGCTATCTGAACACGTTTCCATTGTGAAATATTTTGAGAAAAAAATGTTTAGTCAACAGAGACAAAAATACACCCCAGTAAACTGTACCTGAGAAATTAGTTTATAATTTTTGTGTTATTACAAATTTATGGAAATCAAAACACCTGTCAAACTAATGGTGAAAAACGTACCAGCTGAAACACTTATATTTCCTTCCTAATGGTCCTGTGACAAAGTGGATGGTTCCTTTGTTTTTAATTTTCAATTTCCAGATTTTAAATGAGACTTCTTATAGAAGGACTTTTTGTTGTGACATTTACCTCTTTATGTGTGTATTCAGTGACTTGGGATCTTCCAGATGGGGTGGGGATATTGCCTTGCAATCGTTAAAAGCTAATTTAGTACACAATGATACATAAAGTCTCTCAGGGGCATTAAGAAAAAAAGCATGCTAAAACATATGAAATGTGTCAGTCCTAAGTGAGTTTAGTGTAACTAACTGTCAAATGTTTCTTCCTTTTTTTTCAGCCCAAGCTTCACTTAGAGGAATATAAGCAACTGCTAGGTAAGCAAAATCAGTTCTGCCTCTGAACTTATATAAAGCTAGAAGGCAATGCATGATGTGTTGTGCAAAAGTGTAAAAGCTCTCTTGTTTAGCTCAAGGAATACAAGAATAGGCATTTCTTGATCTTCAGTCATGATTAAAACTTTAATAAAACTTCAACTTAATCTAAAATAATGTTATATTTTTGAAAACAACGCATGTCTAAAAGTATTCACTAAAGTATTTGCTTTAATTCCTAATGGCAGTGAGTTCCACGAGTTATTCCACTGTTCTTTTTTCTCAGTGGTTTTGAATGCCTGATTTGAGTGTTAAAGGAGATGGGGAGCAGACGCTCTTACATGGTCTTGAGGATTCTGATCCCTTTAACAGCTTGTGCTGGGTCACGAGGAGCAGGTGAGGCCCCCAAAGTTTTGTGGACTTCTGAGTTGCACAGTGCTGAACAAGTGCTCAGAAAGAACCAGGAAAAGCTGCTGTAGCTTAAAACGTGCAACATGCCCTAATGCTAGAGCTTTTGATTTATGCGGAGGGTGTAATGACTTGCGACCCTAATGACTTTACATGACTCACAAGTCACTTAAAAGCAGCTTCATGCTTCACTTTGTGATGGGCATTTGTCGTTTGCTTACGTAAGGATTGTACTGAAGTGTAACTGAGCAGGGCCCTTTATGCACACGATGAATGATGTTACCTTTTCTCGCCAATTTCAACGATAAGCCACCAGAACAGAATGAAGTTAATTCTAATCTAAGGTTGTCTTCAGTAGTCACACAGTTAAAGGAGCCCCTGGCTCAGTGCTCATGTTGTTGTTTTGTCTATTTCTACCTTTCACTATGTTTGTTTTGAATCAGCTTTAGAGAGTCATGCCAGTAACTATAAATAATTGTAAACCCCTTCCTTTTGCTAGAATTAATTACCACATCAAATCTGTGAAGATTTCATGAAAATTTTACCCACTATGCTCAGTCTTTTCTTTGCATCACTCTTTTTCTTCCAACTGTGTGATTGTGGCTTCGTGGAACTATGTAACCTGATTTTCTTTTCCCCTGGGGAGCTTGGGGACAGCATACCTTTTTGCAGTTGCCTTTCATGACACGAATTCGAAGCGATGTCTTTAAACCTTCTGCATTACCAAGTCTCTCAGATTTTTTCACACACAACAATAGTTGTATCTTACTATCATAGTAGCATCCATACCTGTATCTTGTTTGGAGTTGGTTTTAAGGTCTTCATAAAATAAATTACATCTTATTTTTCCTGTTTTGCTATTTCTGTTTTTGTAAAGGGAAAATCTAAAAAAAATGGCTTTTAAATTAGGGCTATTTAGATAAAGGAACCCAGCAGAATTCTGAAAAAATTATAGTATTATCATGAAGAAATAGGAAGGAGGTGGACAATTAGATTTTTCACATGTATTAGAAAATAGAAACTAGGGTGGTAAGTTAGTATTGGATATGAATACTTTAATTAATTTTCTGGTTAATATAGTGCATACATAAAATGACTTTGTAATATAAATTTAGAAAGCCAATCGGAAAGAATGCCATCAGATATCACTTTATAGAATATATAAAATGTTTAATTAAGCAGTAAAGCCATGTAAACCATCTGCTTCTGTTTAAATAGTCAAGATGTTACAGAGCCATTTCTTGTAATTTAAAACGTCTATGCATTTTTGATTGCTTTAAAATTAGCATTCAGCTTTCCTAAGGACTTACTTTTTTTTTTTCTTCTGCAGTGAGATATATAATAATTGTTAATGAAGAGGATTTTGAGCAGAAATTCTGTTCATTTTAGAACATTTTGAACTTACTGATTTTTTGTCATTTAAGGTTTTTGTTCTCACTAGCAGTTTAAAGAAGATCAAAAGCTAAAGTAGACTGCAGCAGTTTGAAGGTTTCTGTAGAATGCATGGTGGGTAATTTAGGAGGAACTGGGTTTTATTTTTTTCTGTTCATCAGCTGGGCCTTTTCCTGCTAACTAATTCATCAATGCTTAGGAGCTGAAAGTGTCATAGGATATAGCTCTTTCAGGCCATGGTGTCTGCAGACTAGTTCCTACTGCAGGCTGCTAAAGAATCAACATGAACTCATGCGGAGCTGGGAGGAGAAAGGGTGTGAGCAGAAAGGATGTGTCTCTTCAGTCATTCCTGGTGGCAGAATTCCCGGGGAACCCTTGCACAAATGAAAGCCACCTGCCAAATCCAAACTGAACCCTCAAAATTTAAAGGAGCCCACCAGAAATACCATAGCTTTGTTGGCAAACTTTCAAAATCTTCTGTAAATGGAGTGCGGTCTCATAAACAGGCAGAGCTTTATTTGACTAACTTTCAAGTGTATTTGGAAGTTCTCTGATGCAATAGAAAAGCTGTTTGCAAGGTGCTTGTCAGAAGGACAGTTTCTGACAGTTTAGAAAAGATGAGGAGATAAAATGAGGTATGACTGTGGGGGCAGAAGTTTCCTG